GAGGTTGGCTCTTTCAAATTGCTGGTGTAGATGACAATAGATAGCAAGAATAATGCCAAACACACACACAATACTTACTCTCCTTGGAGTTTGTCTTCTACTCACATCTTAAATGTTTTGTCAGTATCTTAAATAGTTTGCCAACTATTCTAGTCTTAAATATTATCAGACATAAATGAGCCATCCTGAAACATCCAGCTAGTTGATTTGACTTTGAAGTGGAGTTGTAAACCACATTAGTAGGGTAGGCACCCTCTGGGAGATGCTCCTGTCTGTAGTGGAGCTAGCTATGTGACTATGTTAATACTGGTTTGAGTAACAAGGACTGATTTATGAATACATATGTTTCCCTTATTTCTAATTTTAAAGGAGAGACTTCATGAGCAGTTCCTAGAAGGAAATCTTCCAAGGATGGAAATGGAAAGGAAGCTTCTAGTAGTAAATCATGGATGATGACTAGCTATAGGTGCCCTCTTGAACCTGGTCTTGGTTCACCTTTCAGAGGTGCTGTTAAGAAGTAGTTATGGTAACTAGTCCATGGGACTGAATAAGTGCAGTTAGAGTTGTCTATTTTAACCCCTCCTATATTCCAGCTCACAAAGCAGTGCTCCCTATGGAGGCCCTGAAAGTCTTGAGCCCAGACCTCATGCATCTGCTGCCCACCAGTGTGCCCATGTCAGCAGGGAAACAAAGAACTACTGGGAGGTTTCTTGAGGGTTGGTTCTTCAGTTTGGGACAACTTGTCTTTTTCCCTTTTTTCATGGTGCCTTGTGTCTTAAACTTTCAGGTTCTTGTAACCTGAAAGTGTTAAAGGAACATTTTGTCCCCTAAGGAAGGGGTGGAACTAACCACATGTTCCTTTTCTAGGGACTCCCTGGGACTGTTCAGTTAGCCACAAGTGTGCATTAACATTACTATTGCTAGTGTGGACACACCCACACTTAAATGGACAAGCCAGTGTAAAGAAACTGCTTGTTTCAGATCATTAACTGAAGGTGGTAGCCATATTTCATTATTTCCCCTTTAAAGCTGGCACCACAGCCTATGATACTTAAGAGGAAGAGCAAACAAGGCTGCCTTTGCTTTGTAAGTCTCCTATTCCTGCTTCTAATATTAATGCCATTTGTGAGCCTAGCTGTCTCAGATGATAACTGAGAAATTTTCATAGACCTACCCTTGAATTTCTTTTCCTCCCACTATGGTATCTAGTTCTTGGTAGGAATGGCTTGGCCATTAAGAAGTCGTGTTGGTTGGTTGCCTAGATGTCTACCTTTAGCACCTGCATGTTCAGCTTGAACCTTGCAAAGGCTTTGCCCAAGTCTTGGTGGAGCAATCAGCAAAGGCATTCATACATGCTCATTGGATGGAAACTGAACTACAGCCTGGCCCTGAGGATAAGTCTATGTCTGCATTCTCTCTCTGTCTCTCTCTCTGTCTCTCTCTCTGTCTCTCTCTGTCTCTCTCTCTCTGTCTCTCTCTCTCTGTCTCTCTCTCTCTGTCTCTCTCTCTGTCTCTCTCTCTGTCTCTCTCTCTGTCTCTCTCTCTCTCTCTCTCTCTCTCTGCCTCCTGGGTATCTCCTGGACTAGGAAGAAAAGCAATTCCCATCACAATAGGTGGGTCAATCACTAGTTCTCATCATTCATTACCTCCATTCTGAGGGACTAGGAGCAGCTGGAGAGGGGAAGGTGGCTCAAATATTGGGATAGAAAGTTCCAAGTCTTCTTGCTCATTTCTTATCTCAGACTTCCTTCTGAGCATAGCTTTTTGAGTCTGCTATTGAAACTCTCATCCCAGTAGATGCTGTAATTTGCTGTCCTTTTTGATGGACAGCAATGGCACGAAATCTGCAGAATTATGATATGTTTATAATACTTGCAATGTACTAGAAGATATAAAACAAACTTCTATTTTTCTTATGCTAGATACAATTGAGTTCTTCCCATCCAAATACCCCGATTCTATTATATGTTGAAGTTGTGGCGATGGTGTTTTCTAACTGAATAATTGTAGTATCTGCCACTAGATAGCTGGTGTGAAAGAAATTGTGGCAGTGTTTTCATGTTTGTTCTGGCCCCTCATGCTACTAAAGCATAGCAGAACCGTCTGCTTGTTCCCTGAGGAACAAGCTATATGGAGAGAGTGTGACAAATGAAACCAGAAGCTAGCCTGAAGTGTATTCTTCAGGTATTTGCATTCCAAGAATCCTTTTTCCTATTTCTGCTTTATGCCTAGATTGTTTTGTATTTTTCTTCAGCCCTACCATCCCGTTAGGAGTTGAGAGTTCTGTGGGGAAATACATAGTCATTACAATGAGTGGAACATTATGCTTCTGGAAGGTTACTGGAGAAGAATAGATGAAGGTGTGTGTGAGTAGGGCTAAGTATATGTTCAGAAGCCTTTTGGTGTAAGTGACCAGTAATGGAGCCTGGGAAATAAATAGGTTTAAGGCTTGGTACAGCAATGACAGTAACAAGAAGTTGAAGTAGGCAACAACCCTAAGTGATCGTGATGTCTGTGCTCAGCTACTTCAGATAGGAAAAGCCACGGGAATTCCAATAAGATATCCATGGGAAAGGCACCAATTTGGTCCTAAGAACTTGGTCTGTCTCCTCTAGGACAGAGTATGAACACCTGCAGGTGAGAGGACAGTTGAACCTAGAGTTAGGCCTAAAATCAGGAAGCTTAAGATGGAAATCCAGGGCTGGGAATGTGGCTCAGTGGTAGAGTGCTTGCCTTGCATGCACGAATCCCTGGTTTTGATTCTTCAGCACCACATAAGCAGAAAAACCAGAAGTGGTGCTGTGGCTCAAGTGGTCGAATGCTAGCCTTAAGCTGAAGAGCAGAGGAAGAGCAGAGGGACAGCATCCAGACTCCGAGTTCAGGCCCAATATCCCCCACAAAAATATCTAACAGTTAGGGAGGATGGTTATCTAAGCAACCTGAGACGATGCCAGCATGGTACTGGCACAAAAACAGACACGAAGACCAATGGAACAGAATAGAAGATTCCGAAATAAATCCACAGGTCTTCAGCCAGCTAATATTCCACAAAGGAGCCAAAGACATACAATGGAAGAAACACACCCTCTTCAACCGCTGGTGCTGGGAAAACTGGGCGGCCACATGCAGAAGACTAAAAGTGGACCCCAGCCTATCACCATGCACCAACATCAACTCAAAATGGATTAAAGACCTTAACATTAAACCTGAATCTCTGAAACTACTGCAGGACAGAGTAGGAGAGACACTTGAACTAATAGGCACAGGAAGGAACTTCCTGAACAGAGTCCCAGGGTCACAACAAGTTGGAGAGAGACTCGACAAATGGAACTACCTTAAAATAAAAAGCTTCTGCACAGCTAAATCTATTGCAACCAAGCTAGAAAGATAACCAACTAATTGGGAAAAAAATTTACCAGCAATATATCAGACAAGGGGTTAACATCCTGTATATACAGGGAACTCAAGAAACTAATCCCTCCCAAACCTAACAAACCAATTACTAAATGGGCAAGGGAACTAAAGAGGGACTTCTCAAATGAAGAAATAAAAATGGCAAAGAAACACATGAGGAAATGTTCATATCCCTGATGGTGAAGGAAATGCAAATAAAGACAACCCTGAGATACCACCTTACCCCAGTCAGAATGTCCCACATCCACAAATCAGCCAACGGCAAATGCTGGAGGGGATGTGGAGAAAGAGGAACCCTATTACACTGCTGGTGGGAATGTACACTTCTACAACCACTTTGGAAAGCAGTCTGGAAGGTCCTTAGAAAGCTAAAGATTGACCTCCCTTACGACCCAGTCATACCACTTCCAGACATCTACCCTGAACAACAGGAAACAATATACAAGGACACGTGCACCTCCATGTTTATTGCAGCACTGTTCACAATAGCTAGGATATGGAAACAACCCAGATGCCCCACCACAGATGAATGGATCCAAAAATTGTGGTATCTATACACAATGGAATATTATGCAGCCATTAGAAATGACAAAATAATGGCATTTGCAGGGAAATGGATGGAGCTAGAAGGAATCGTGTTGAGCGAGGTAAGCCAAGAGTGAAGAGACAAACGGTACATGGTCTCCCTGATAAGTGGATGCTAAATCCAAAATGTTAGGTGATACGACAAAACTAACAAGACTTAAGAAACAAAGAACTCCCACTCATCTGGTTGAACCACTACTAAATATCCCCATGCTGCTGATCACATGTATGGTGTATAACATGTGAACACCATTATATGTTACAGACTGTGATAGACAATTTGCTCCAGGAAAGTTAGAATGAACTGTGACTTTAAATGAGCATCATTATTCCACAATACTGGGAAATTCCGGAAATTATGTAATCACTTAATCACAATCCAAAAAAAAAACAGAACCTTGGGGAAGGTAGGGAGGGAAGGGATGATAGGGGGAAAACAATGGAGGGGGTAACAATGTTCAAGAGGAAGTGTACTCATTACCTCACTCATGTAACTGTAACCCTCTGTATAGTATCTTTACAATAAAAAAAAAGAAAAAGAAAAGAAACATAAAAAAAGAAAGTTAACTTGGAAAATATAAAAATAAAAATAAATTGGGAAACTTGTGTCTTCATCGGTTCCAATGTGGCAAAGGAGCTTGACTAAAGGAATGGGCTGGGGAAGGGGGGGAAGGGATTAAATCTGACAATGTAATCCTGCTTTTATGTGGGAAAGTGGATACTTGCTAGTCTCCCAACCTTCTCCTAAGTTTCCTCACTATATAGAGAGAAACCTAAACCTCTGGGCCCGATGAAATATCCCAGCTTCCTGGGACCGGTGGGACTCAAACCCCCAATCTGCAAACAGTCACCAGCACTCACCAGCCACATGGCATCGGTCTCCAGGTCTGAGTTTCAGAGAACAGCCCCATTTGCTTTTCATGGGAGAAGTTTCTAGGAAGGGGTTTCACCTAGGTGATGGTTGCCAAAGCATCAAGCAAGCAAGGTTACAGAAGTAAAACAGCCTTTGAGTCACAAGAACACAGGCAACAAATAATCTTCACTTGGTCAGCATGATCCATGCTGTCAATTTATTGACACTTGATTACAAAAAACAAACAATATCCTTGGATTACAGAAATCAAAATACAATCTCAGGTGGGGGTAGTCTATTGAACAGAAATTATTGTTATTATTAGCTCCAGACTAACACAGCAAGTCAGCACAGCCGATGACAAGCCTCAAGGTGGTCAGTGGCCTTCAGCAGAGTTTGTAGTCAACTGCAAAGCTGCCAGCCTGGGAAGCTTGAGAGAAGGACAAATGTTCTTTTACTTTTCAGCAAGGAGGTAAAGGGGCTATCGCTGACTGCTGGTCAGCCTTAGCCTGGGGTTTTTCTTTACCAAGAGGTTGACCTCTTGATCAATAATTTTGTTGTTTTGATCTCACATTTTGTTCTCATGGATATCCTTTCTTTGCTGCCTCAGGGAACACAGAAAATTTCCTGCAGCAGGAGGGACTGAGGCCAGACAATAGACGGAACTTTCTGCCACTGAATAGTAACTCAGATACCTTGAATTTTTAGTGGGGATTATCACACCAGGTAGTTGGGTTCCCTTGTGTAAGATTCTCAAACAGGAGACCAATACATGTTTCAGGCAGGAAAGAGTTCATTTTTGTTCCTTCCAAAAGGCAATAGTCATTTAATTATACAAATTTACAAATCAAAATTCAGAACAACTGGAGAGGTTTAGGGGCAGTGTTTCCAGTCAGGTGTCCTGGCTGAGGGAGGCTCTGGATGGAAGGGCAGCACTGGGTGAGGCGGGGTGGCTCCAACTTCAGAACTTGAGGCTGAAGCCTGGCCCCACGGCTGAGGCCCCCTGGTTGGTGGTGGTGAGGTGGAAGCCTGTCTCCATCACCTCCTCCTTCTCACCCAGCCTGTTGAAGCCTAGACCACCGCTGGGGGGCTGGGGGCTAGTGCCACACTTCACCCTCTGCTGCTGCTGCTGCTCACTCTTGGCAGGCCAGGTGGGGAACATGGAAGGGTGGACAGGGAGGGGGTTCTCACGAAAATACTCGTGCTTGAGGCCATCTTCTGCAGTCATCCGTCTCCCAGGGAAATAGGTCAGGAACCTGTTCATGAGATCAAAGCCTTGGTCTGAGAGCAGAGTCCCGAAGCGCTTCCGGAGGTGGTTGTAGGGTTGTTGGCTGAAGGTCATCTTCTTGACTGCCGGGAGCTCATTGTAGCCAGGCCAGATTTTCTCACTTGGAGTCCCCAGATCCTTGAATATCTTGTGGATCTGATCCATCTCCGACTTCCCGGGAAACAGGGGCTTATGTGTCAGCAGCTCTGCGAAGATGCAGCCCACTGACCACATGTCCACAGGTGTAGAGTACTCCTTGGCGCCAAGCAGCAACTCGGGGGCTCGGTACCACAGGGTCACCACCACGGGGGTGTAGGCCTTCAGGGGCATCCCGTACTCTCGAGCCATCCCAAAGTCAGCGATCTTGAGGATGCCTTCATGGCTCAGCAGCAGGTTGGAGGTCTTGAGGTCCCGGTGCAGAATCCAGTTGTCATGCAGGTGATTCACCCCCTGCAGCAGCTGAAGCATCAGCGTCTTCACTTCCCCTGGCAGAAAGGGCTGCTGCATGGTCTGCATGAGGCTCTTGAGGTCATGCTCCACGTAGTTCATCACTATGTAGATCTGGTCCATGTGGCTGCCCACCACGATCTCCCGGATGGTGACAATGTTGGGGTGCTGGGCCTTGAGGAGGATGTTGATTTCTCTCAGGGATGTGATTGGGAACCCTTCTCTCCCCTCGATTTTCAACCGTTTTAGAGCCACAATGGCATCTGTCTTCTTTTCCCTGGCTCTGTACACGACCCCGTAGGTGCCTTCCTCAATCCTGTTCAGGCACTGGAACTCCTCCACGCTGCGGCAGCCCTGCAGCGCTGGCAGGTATTTGGGCAGTTCCTGCTTGGGCTCGGTGGGCGACAGGGCTGGGGAGTCAGGAGGGTGGTCCCCTGCGGTGGACATGCTGCTCTGCGGGGTCCCCTCGCCCACTTCTTCCTCCTCTTCACTGTCCCCGGAATCTCCGTCAGATCGCGACTCTGGAACAGCCAAGATGAGGTCTTCGTGGCCGGGCTCTTCACCCTCACTCATTTCTTGCTCATTTCCTAGGTCTGCAGACTGCTCTGAGGCCTCCTCCCAGTGGCTCCGTGGATCTTCCGAGCCCGAGCCTGATTCCACTGAGGACCTGGCAGAGCAGTTTTTCCTCTCCTTGTCACTGACACTGTCCTGTCGGTTAGACAGCAGATCTCTTGCCTCGGTTTTCTCTCCTTTGACTGGCTTCGGTCTGGCTCCCAGTGCAGAGCTCTCCCTGGGTGGCCACACCGGGCTGCGACTGCAGGGAGTGGCCCTGCCCTTGTCGCTGTAGGCCTCCCTGGTCCTCCAGTGGTGTGCCAAGCCCTCCCTGCGGGCCTCAGGCTCCTGGCGCCATCCCTGTCCCTTCTGGCCCCGCGTCTCCTTCTGGTGCTTGCTCCTCCTGCGCTCCCATCCTCGCTTCCCTTTGACCTGCTGCAGGCGGTCCCCCTCTCTCCCGGGATGTTCTCTTACCAGTTTCCTCCTTTTCTGTCTTTCCCATTCGCGGTGGTCTTGGTCCTGCTCTTCTCGGTGTCGCTTCCGAGGTCCGTGCTTGCTTTCTCCTTTCACTCGAGTATGCTGCCCCCCTTCCGCTGAGCGACTGACATGTCTGTGCTTCTCTTTTCTCTTCTCTTTGCAGCGATGGGCCTTTGCTTGCCGAGACATCTGCTGTGAGGGATGGATGGCTAGAAACTCTTCTTCTCCCCTGTCTTCCATCGAGTCCTCTCTTCTGTAGGGCGAGTTTCTGATTGTGATCTCCGTTTGGGGATGTCTCTGCTCTCCTTGTTCACCAGAGTCCTGCTTGGAATCCCTGTCATCAGAACATTTTAAGCATTCTATCTCTGCTTTCTCCTCTTGTTTTCTCCTTCTCTTCTTTTCTTGGAGAATTTCTTCTAAAGTTTTCACTCTCCAGGAGTCCTGTCCACCACCCATTTGAATTAAAACAGCCTACAACGAACTTCTTCTGAAAGAGATTATTCAGGAGAAAGACCAGCTTACTGGCCTGCTGGAGGTGGAGATGAGCATAGAATGAAGGTTTAGGACAGAGGAGAGGAATTATATAGGGAAGGGCAAGGAGGTATGGGCCACAGCAATGCAGAAATGACCTCAGAGCCTAGGGAGCCTCTCACTGTTGGAAGGAGGCAAGACTGAGCAGATGAGGGCCTGGCTGGGCAGCTGAAGAGAAGAAAAGGAGGGTTGAGGGTGTGGCTGGGCAAATTAGGGTGTGGCTGGGAGGATCAGGGTCAGGTAGCAAGGCTTGAAGGCGGGTCCATCAGATGAGGGCATGGCTGGGCCACAGAGGTGATTTTGGGTCAGGCTGTGGTGAGGTTCTTCTGAGGAAGAGAAGCTAAGGGGATAGTGGGGGCTATTCTTCTGGGCAGATCTATCATTGCTGACTTGTTACAGTTCTGAAGCACATCCATGCTGGCTAATTGTGCTGATTCCTCAAGGCGGAGACTAGTAGTAATAGTTCCTTGTTTGTGACTAGGCTTATGCATCTAAGGAAAGTGGTCTTGGGAGGCAGGGGCTGAACATTAAGAATAAAGCCATTAGAGAAGTTATTAGAGGACACACAAAGGTCACACGGAAGGGCAACCATCCATTACCACTAGAAGTGAATAAAATGACTTGTAGATGACAAAAGAAATGGAAAGGATTACAGAAGAGGGCAGTCAGCTCGGTGTTAATCTCATCTTCAGGGATGCAGTCAGCTTTACCTTAGTAGGCCTGAGAGGAGCAGGTGTACCTTGTAGTCAGTGTCAGTCTAGGAGGAACCGGAGCATAAACCTTTTTCACACTTGACAGATGAAACCACTGTGGCTGTCCACTGAGCTACACTGGGCTGGGAGTGGTCAGCAGGACCTGGTGAGACCCTGTCCAGCTAACATGTAAATCAGATGCATTAAGGTTTTTGAGAAAGACTTGCTTCCCAGAAAAAACTGTGGGAGAAGGGAAAAAACCTTGATGAGACTGGGGGAGGCATTTGTCAGCTTGTTGTCATAGCATATGTCTAAGAATTATGACAGGAAGATAATCCATTTTGAGAAAAAAAAATGTTTGAGTTATTTGACTGTGACCAGGAGAGCTGATCCTTCCCTCTGGTCTCTATGTCAGGCTTCTCTGATTCCCAACCTTGTGTAGCTAGTGGGAATCATCAGGAAACTGTATACCTGAGATCTCCATACCTTCAGAAGCTCTTCTCAATTGAAGCCAATCAAGAATGCTCTACTTTTCATGTACTCTTGAGTATTTTTAAAAACGGAAATAGAAATTTATGTATGAAGTTAATGTGATGTGAAGAAGATATTGGAATGGAGAATAGATGGCTTGTTAACACTGTGAGGAGAATGGAAGGATGTGTTTGTCAAGGCAGGAGCACTTGAACTGACAGGACACAGGTGATAGCTGAGCCAGCACAGCTATCATAAAGGTAGGATATGATCTTCCTTTAGGATCTTTTTCCCCACCTGGGTTCTGGGGATGGAAAATGCCAGCTGAACTACATTCCTGGCCCTTTTTGAACTTGTGACCCTTCTTTCTCAGCCTCATGAGCTCCTGATATTGAAGGAATGCACCACCTTTTAGTAAAAGATCCATGACAGGTTGATAATTGGCTTTTCTGTTTCCTCAACATTGTTTTGTGTATAGGCGTAGTGATGACAGTTCTACAGCTGCCTTAGAAAAATTGGGGATCTCTGTAAAGAGCATATGCAGACATGAGAAGTTCTCCCCTGCTTGCCTTCCCCTGCTGTCTGTTGGCTATAACTACCAAGTGGGTGCTAAGGATGGGAGAAAATGAAGATGGACCCAATTCAAATGCTGCTGGATCCATGAAGCCCTGTGTTCCATCTTCTTGAAGCTGTGAGCCCATGTGTTGACTTGCTATTCCTGAGCATTTCCTGTTTCTGAACAGTTCTTGTTTGGTTACCGGAGAGAAAACCCTGGATCTTATTATTGGAGGTAGACTTGACAGTTAGAGTTCTCCCTTGAGCTAACCCTGATTTAAGCCCAACTAGTATTGGCTTGACCTTGACCTGAGGGTTGTCTTGGCCTTCTGATGATCGAGAGAGGTTATGATCTTCTGGATTCTTCTTTGATCTTTCATAAGGGACCTCAGAAAAAGATATGAGAGGAGGTCTCACTGGTATTGAGAGAATGTTTCAGTGGCTATCATGTTCTAGTGTTCAATGAGAGAGGATTAGTTCTAATTTTTAGAAATATTTCATGCATAAGTATCTAGCTTTATGTGTAATGTGTGTATACATGAACATATATATGTATATGTATTTTAAAGACTACATTCTACAAATTGAAAATCATGCAATATCTCACTTAATGTTTTTATAAGCCATGATAACTGGCAAAAATATTTAGGCTTATAGTTTTGCCACACATGGTTTAGTTTCAATGACTAGGTTTTACATAATGATACAGCCTATGAAACACTGTATTCACCTTGGTCACCTATGCATACAGCAGATGTCTTGGAGACAGCAATTCTGTAACAATGATCATTCCTGTGAATGCTTAAGTGACTTCAAGGGATACTTGAGTGCTAATACAAGAACCTGCAGAGTGAGTTAGTCTTACCTTGTCTGGGTCATCTGGCAGTGTAATAGGAACCATTAATAAGAGTACTTGCAACACTGAAGCCAGTTCCCAAAGAATGCTGTCAGACATTTTAAAAAGTCAAAAATATAACTTCTGCAATGCCAGTAAGATGATGATCCTAGGGAAAGGGATGCGGAGAAGTGTTTCTTCTCATCCTCAAGAAGATGCTGGTCCTCCCAAGACTACAAGTCTTCTGGCTTTGGTCACAGGGTAGACTGTGGTGGTATACCGTGTTCTAAGCAGTAGACCAGGACATGAAATGCTTACCTGTCTTCTTTTGGGTCTATAACAAAACTGGAGGACCAAGAAGTCAAAGCCCCATTATGGAAGGAAGGTGGCTGAACTCTGAACCATAGAAGGGAATGATTGTATTCTGTGAGGTGAGAGTAACCTCTCAGTCACTGAGGTTGGTTCTTTCAAATTGCTAGTGTTGATAACAATAGGTTATATTAGCAAGAATGATGTCAAACACACAATGCTTATCCTCCTTGGAGTTTGTCTTCTAAGCCAATTACTCAAATCGTAAATATTATCAACTGTAAATGTGTAATTTTGAAATCTCCAGAGAGTTGATTTGACTTTAGAGTTGAATTGCAAATCACATTAATAGGGTATGCATGACCTGGGAGAAAATCCCCTGTCTCCATCCTAGATGTAGCCAGTATGTGACTGTTAATACTGAGTACCAAGGACTGAGAGATGAATACATATACTTGCCCTATTTCTAATTTTAAACTGGGATCCATCCCCTGAACAGCCCCTGGAAGGGAATTTTCCAAGGATGGAAATGAAAGGAAACTTATTTTGCTAAAGCATGCAGCTTACAAAGCAGTGCTCCCTCTTGAGGCCCTTGAAATCTCAGTCCCAGAGACCATGCCATCTGCTGCTCACCTGTGTGCCATGGCGGCAGATAAACAAGTAACCAGTAGGAGATTTCTTGAAGGTTGTTTTTTCCATGCTGTCTTGTGCCTTAAACTTTCAAGTTCTTGAAACATGTGTTAAAGGAACTTCTTTTCCAGTAGTGGCGGGGTTAAAACTGAGCACATGTTCGCTTTCTAGTGACTCCCTGGGACTCTCAGGCAGCCACAAGTGTGCATTAGTATTGCTGGTATGGACAGGACCTACACATAAACTGGAACCCTGGTATGTGGGAAATGCATGTTTCAGACCATTAACTGAAACTAGGTAGGTCATATTTGTTTGTTTCCCATTGAAGACTGGTACCCCAGCCAGTGATGCTTAATAGAGGCAGAGCAAACAAGGCTGCCCTTGTCTTTGTATGTCCCCATTTCCTGCCCATGTGGGCAATGGCATTTTGGAGTGAAGCAGATATCAAAGCTGTACTAGTTTCTTTGTGAGCCTAGCTGTCTCAGATGATAATTGAAAAATTTTCAGACACATTTCCATTCTACAAAACAGTATATGAATACAAGGTGCAGAGACATACTCTTGAATTTCTTTTCCTCCCACTATGGTGTCTTGGTCTTGGTAGGAATGGCTTGGCCATTAGGAGTTGTGTTGGTTGTTGCTTAGATATCTACCTTTAAAACTTGGATGTTCAGCTTGAACCCCTGCAAAGGCTCTGTCCCTGTCTTGATGGAACAAACAGCAGAGGCATTGGTGTCTGTACAATGGATGGCCTCTGGACCATCCAGTCTGTCCTGAGAATGTGCATTGATAGTTGTGCCTATGTCACAGGACCCCCACCAAGAAGACCACTGAGAATCAGACTTTACAGATGTACTAAAGTTTTATTTAGACGGGCTGTAGCTCGGGCCTCGTCCTAAACTCCAACACAGTGGAGCCTAGGAGAAGAGCCCCAAGTTAAAGATTTTCAGGGCTCATGAAGACACACAACCAACCAGGTGTTTGGATTACCACCATGTATTGCTCTGCTAGAGAGAATTTGCTGATCTTAGGTTTAAACAAGCAACTACTGGTCACTGCCTCAAGTACTTTAAGCCTTCATTGATCTCATGGGTCTACCTGATCTGCTGAGAAGCTGAGCTGCTGGTGATGTTGATGTATATGATTGGCTGAAAGTCCACTGATCCCTTCATGTTCTGCTATGGCAGGTATTGTTCATGAGGACAGAAAAATTCTTAGTTTCCTGTGGGCTGAAGATTCAAGAATTATTTTCCCAGTACATGGCTTGCCTATTTTGTGTATATCATGAATTCCTTTGGATTCTTTGCTGGAAGCTCCCGAGGGAGGTGAGGTGCATATTCCTGGAGGGTAATGGCCAGAATGGGGTAGAGTTCTTCCAGAAGCTTGAACAAGAGCAGGTATGAGGTGATTCTCAAGACCCCTCCCCTTGTGTT